TTCCATAAAAGGCTCAGAGCGGGGACTTCCATAAAGGGTGTGAGGACAAGAGCATCCTCTTATTTCACAGGCTTCTTAACACATAGTTTATAGCCTGAGGAGTCAGGGTCTATGGGCGGAGGGTGTGAATAGTCTATTGACAACAGTTTCTGGGTAATGGCATGGAAGGCTATAGAATACACAGTTTTGGGTTATACCCATACCATGATGAACTGATCTCAGCTGTCCTAACTAGGACATATATACAGAACGTATATGAAAATAGGGGAAAGCAGTGGTCTCAACTCCTTTAGGAGGAAGGGTATGTAGTTAACCTACATATGTATTTAAAGACAAATACTGACACTGGCTGATAAGCTGTTCAAGCACCACAGCTCAGTTTTGCCTCCAGGCTGGAGGGAAAGGAGCAGATCTTGATTCTAAGAGCTAGGGCAGCTTTGCTGAATCTGGTGAAGTTGCACTGATTCGTACCCTCAAAAGATCTACTTACTTACTCTGCCCATTGTAGGGTGCTCTCAAGATTTTCACATCATAGATAAAGCATGTCTGTGAATTCTTATAGCAAAACAAAATACTTTTAAAACAAACTTTGTAGAAGAGGGAGGATAGAAGAAGAGAAAAATTCAAGGTTGAATGGGGGGACACAATAGTGGTATAATGAGTGATTTGGAAAGCAAAATATTTTTCAATATTTGACTGGTATTGTGGTTTAGCCCCAGCTGGCAACTAAGCCCGATGCAGCTGCTTGCTCACAGCTCCACCAGGAGGATGGGTGAGAGAACCGGAAGAGTAAAAGTGAGAAAACTCCTGAGTTGAGACAAAGAGAGTTTAATAGGTAAAGAAAAAGTTGTGCACACGAGCAAAGCAAAACAAGAAATTCATTCACCACTTCCCATGGGCAGACAAGTGTTCAGCCACTTCTAGGGCTCCATCACACATATTGATGGGAATTACTTGGGAAGACAAATGATGTAATGCCAAATATTTCCTGTTTCTTTCTTCTTCACCCCACTTTATATACCTCATATGGTATGGAATATCCCTTTTGTCAGTTGGAGTCAGCTGCCCTGGGTGTGTCTCCTTCCAGCTTCCCATGCATCCCCCGCCCCTTTGCCATAATGGGCAGAATGTGAAGCAAAAAAAAGCTCTGTGTAAGCACTGCTCAGCAGTAACTAAAACATCTGTATCTTATCAACAGTGTATCTAGCACAAATCCAAATCATAGCCCCATACTAGCTACTGTGAAGAAAATTAACTCTACCCCAGTCAAAATCAGCACAACTGGCCACAGCCCAAATCATCAGGGAGAATGATACCTGCTGGGGAATCAAATGAGATGCAATGATTTGGCTGCATGCACTAACTGGTCACTGCTGTTCCACTGTGTGGTGACTTTTCAAGGGGGTTAGTGGGAACAAATGAAGGCAAAACCACGAACAAAGTAAACCATGGTGCAAGTACTATAAGCATCAGAAATCTCTCTCTGACAAGATAGAAAGGAAAATCTTTCAGTAGCACTTTAACTGAAGTATAGGCCCAGTAATGATGTTGAAAGCAGAAGTCTGTCATCATTGCATGTATATGGCAAAATTGTGTAGAGTTAATTCTTTTGCAACCTGTTTTTAACACTGTTGCCTCAAGTTTTATTTTGTTGAGTAATGGTATAAATTTTATTGGTTCTGATTTTGGCTAATTTGCTTTCAACAATGGCTTGCTGTAATATGGAGAATCACATTACACTGGAGAATCATACTTAAATAGTTTGCAAAATGAGACAAATCAAATTAAAAAATAAAGATGAACAAAATCTGATCAGCAGCACTTTTTCAACAGGAGTGAAATTCGAGCATTAAAAATGTTTTTCTGTTGAAAATCTATTATTTGTCAAAAAACTCTCACAAACAAGGAGAAAAATCTCATTTAAAATGTGGAACTACACTTGAAGGCTGGACTGCTTATGGTTTTCATAGTGTTAGGGACTACAAGTTAGTGTGTGAAGGAAATACATAGGAGTAGGTGTATTTATGGGGATCTTTCGAAGCCTTCATGTTCTCTTTTTCTGCTACAGCTTCTTTCCCATTGTTTACCTTTGCAAATGTCTAGACTAGATGCTCCTTTACCCTTTTGTTTTGCCTGATTGCAAGTTGCACTGGAAAGCTATGATATGGTACTTTGCTAATATTGCATTTTTCCTGGACACATCACAAGAGATGGACTTTTCTGCTGTTAGCAAATTGCATCTAGCTAGAAGAGAATCACATTTACCATGTTACTGGAGAAAGCATAAGCTATTGCCAATGATCCTGATTTTCAACTTAAGTCTCCTCAGTAAACTTCCTCTTGCAGCTCTCAGATGCCTCAATCTCTCTGGGTCATTGAGTAAGAGCTTCTCCAGAGTGCAATTCAGATCTTAGGAGGTCCAACTCACCTTTGAGGTGCCTGCCTGCCTGCTTCACTGGAGTGGGAGCTTCAGGTTTCCTCATTTAAGCAACTCAACAAAGTGCCTAAAAGCAAGTGGTATAGGTTCCTCCTGTGTTTCTAAAGAAAATAATGCATTTTATATGAGTTGCAGAGCTGCTTGAAATAGTTAAGATGCAGTCCAGGCTCAAAATAATATTACAATTTTATATTTCTTTTCCTGTGCCTGGTATGTACTGGATGCATTTGGATTTTCACCCATGGTGTGAAGTCATTTTAAATAGCAAAAAAGTTGTGTAAACTGGGAAACCTAAAATAGCATAAACCAAGAAAATACTCCAGCAAACTGGAGACTATTCCTTTTGTCAGCGTTTGGCAAGGGAAAAAATGGTAAAGCTTGAAGTAAGCAGAGAACATCAGAACAGCTGAGCATTAAAAAGTCATATTGCCTTCTGGTTGTCATGCCTAAAAATAACTTACATGTGGTGAATACTCCTGACAAACGCTTCTACACATTAAAAAGTAAGGGGAAAATATCAAAGTAACTGCTGTTTTATGGGTTGTCATGTATACCCTGGTCTGTTTACAGCAATAATAATAAATATTTTCAACTCAGAGTGAGCTATTCATCTCAAAGATGTCCAGGTGGTTTACAAATGACTAAATGTATTGCTCTACATGGCAGTGAACTGCGGCCACAAGAGCAGCCTGATCATCTATATTGGTACTTCCTGGCAGTGGAAGGTAATAAATGTACTCATACCCTGAGTGAATCTGTAGGGATTGTTTGGGAAAGCAGAATGTAAATGGAGACCTGAAATCTAGCCAAGCAGTGAACAGCAAAACGCAAAGAGTCGGATAGGACCAGGTATCAAGTTTCTGATACACTTTGGTAATTCTTTGAGCGGCTGGATTAAATTTTAACTAGAGCTGGAAAGAAACTTTCCTTCTTGGAAAACTTGCAGGGCAAAACCTTACCCTTTTCACCCCAATGTGAGTACCTCACCTGAGCTATTGCCTACACTTTTGAGGTCAAAAATTGCAGGTATGTAAGTAGCTATTGTTTCAGTTTTAAAAGGTCAGGAAACCTGATAGACCAGGTACTCCTTCCTGTTAAAAACCCTCACTGCAAACAGCTATTTTCCTAATGAACTTGTGTTATATTATTGAACATCCAAATCATTAAAGGAAGTTAACAAAAAAGCTCTATTTGACTGAAGCTCGGGTAGAACTAAGTGGAATTTAAATTAACTGCTAGAATTCAGTAGTGATTCTCTTCCATCCTTTGGAGAAAAGGAATTTAAAATTGCAGCATTTCTGTTTAACATAAACTTTTTTTGAGAAACCAAGGTAGGGCTGAGGTTTATACCTTAAACATGACCAGGTCTGCTGATATTTTGTAAATCTTTTGGTGTGCATGGGGCAAGCTTTTAGTAAACTGTGTCTTAGCTGTTATTTTGATGGTAGTCTTCTTGAAAGTTAGTGTTTCCACGTAGTTTTCATCCTGAGCAATGCAAAACCTGATGAATTTACATGGAATTTGTTTTTATGTTTGGGAACATGACAAAATTGGAGCACTTCAGTAGCATGTTTCTAATTTTACATTAAAGGAAAAACAAAAGAATTGCACAAATTTATGTGTATTGGAATCATTAAGATGTTGACAGTGTTTTCTTGGATGCCTACTTATAAAACTTTGGCTTGCTGCTTCTGTGAAAACTTTGCCAGCCTTTACTCTAAAGTTTGTCTGTTCTTAGGATAAATACGGATGATCTGCCTGCCTTTTTCAGTGGATTGCTTGCAAGCATTCTGAGTCAACATTTCTGAACATAACTAGTTAAAGAAACTGCAGAGATGAGTTTACAAACCATGGAGGAGGAGGAAACACAAGGATGAGGAAGAGTTCAGAGGACTGTTTTGTGTGTGTGTGTGCATGTCCATTTTGCTCAGTTTATCATCATTACTGCTAAATTACTTATGTTGTTTTCCCATGTTCTTCCTTACTGATAATCTCCTGTTCTGCTGCCAGTTGTGTTTCTAGACACTTGTAGTATATGATTGATGGTGTACTGTATTTTGGATTGACTCACTGTATCTCAAATACTTAAAACACACTGCTTGTATTTGAAGAATTTAAATCGGAGCACAGTTTGCTGCAAGTCAGAAATCCCTGTGAGCAAGAGGAGCCACAGACACAGGTTGCAGCAAAGCAGGGAATACAAGGAGAGTCAGTGGATAGATCACAGCAAAACCTTGTGTGTGCTGCCTCCTGCACACAGATTTGACAGCTACAGCTGACTTATTGATTTGGTAGTCTCGCACTGACTGCTGGTTTCAATAGCAAAGCCTCTAACCGGTTGTTAAACTGAGCAGGCATGTAGACAACATGCCAATGAGAGTGTTTGGGCGAGGAGAAAACTGTTGGGTGCATGCCTCTTTGCTTTGGCTCCCCATGAGATATGTGAGGTTGGCTGTGCGTGCCGTCACAGGCATATACTCAAGGACAGCTAAGAGTGAGCTCAAGTGCACTGCTTCCACAGGGGAGAAAAAGGCGGCTGCTGACAGTACAAGCTAGCATGATCATGACAGAGCCAAGTAGCAGAAAGGAAGGATATAAAAAATGCCGGAGTGCTACGTTCAGTATTGATGGCTATAGCTTTACAATTGGTGAGCCTGATTTAATTCCTCTTCTTTTCTTCATTGCCTCTCTTCTTCTTCTTTCCTCTCTTTCTTTTGAGCTCCAGTGAGTACAGGTAAAAGATAGCTGTTGACAACTGTCTTTTGTCAATATATGCCTTCAAAATGTATAAATGCCCTGCAATTTTTGCTTGAATTGGTTTCACATTCTGTTTTCTGTATTTTTTCCTGCCAAAGAAAATTGCCTTTGATATGTAGCCCCTCTAGATACTTTTGCTGGGTTTTGGCACAAGTTCACCAAGACATTTTAGAACTTTACCTCAGGAAATCTTGGGCTTCAGGATTGTGGGTTTCCAACTTGCTCGCTGCATTTCCTTCCTATGAGCCCAGAACATCACCCTTGGGAGCCTTGGCTTTGTTTGAAATATTTGTTTACTTAGTCAGGGTTTCCAAATTCTGTAACTTTTTTTCATTTCTCAGTTTGCAGAAAGATATATATGTAATAGTTCTTGTTGCCTCTCAAAGACAGGAAGCAAAATTGCTGGGACAATTGCTGGTCTTATCCTCCCCCCCCATGTCACCACAGATCCTCCCCCATGCCGCTCACCTGCGACACTCCACACAGGACTGCCCCGCCGGTCCGAGGATCCCCACGGCCTTCCCGACACCCCTCCCCTCCCCCAAATTGGACTGGCAAACCTCTGCACCCTCCAATCCGCAGTTCTGCAATACCCCTGCGTCCGCGCAGCGCAGCCCCAGTGGAACCACCACATGGCCCCCCGGCGCAGCCCCACTTTTTGTTGTACATTGTATCAAACTATACCCTTCACTATGGAGTTGTCAAGTACTTCAAAGCAGGGGGGTTACCTATTACTTGCAGCTGATTGGTTGTCTTATTCCTAAGCAAGGTCGAAGGCTGCATAACCACTAACTTCCCACTCGATATTACTAAACCAATTATGACTATTACAACTTTTGCAAGAACACTCTGTTTATTCCTTATATAATCATAATGATAGTGAGACACTGATGTTTCACCAAGTATCTACTTTTTTTGTGGAAGCATTCCACAATTCATTTCATTATCCAGCCCTCTACAAGTTCCATCCTTCTACTTTAACAGAAAGGTAATTACTGATATACTTTTTTCTTGTTGTCAAGACAACATGTGCTTGTGTGCTCTAATTTTGTTTCTCAAGAATGTATTAAAAAAAGCAACAAGCAGACAGTTTTTTCTTTTTCTTTTCTCTTCCTTTCCCCCCCACCTCTTCCTTGTAAAAGGATTTTTTTAAGCAAAGGTTTTTATTTTTGTTTCTTTTGGGAGTGGAGCAGTGGTTGCCAAAGATTTTTGACTGCCTAGAATACAGAATAGTGTTATACAGTATTTGAATGGAAATAAAATCTGAAGAAGATACTTAAAATATAGGAAAAGCAATAAAAATTGCATATTTACTATCTACAAATTAAAGTGCTTCATGGGACATCAGGAGGAGATTTCACCTGGTTCAGAACCACCAGCAATGGTGCTTCAAACAAACATTTAAAACCTCTCCCTCTCATTCCTCTAGTTTACCTGTTGTATTAAAAGGAACATTTGGCAGTGAGATAATTTGAAATGTGACAGTGGACATTCTTACTCTGTATATTGCTTTTTTCTTCCCTCTCTAGTGGTAGAAGTGAGTGTCAGACCACATTTTCCTGAGAAGTTCAAGGTTTCTCAAGCCACTGGTACTATTGAAAGAAGTAGTTCTGCCATTTCCCTTCAACTATCTACGTGTTTCCGCATTCTCATCATTTCTAGCCACTGTAGATGGTACTGCATCTGGGAAAGAACCAGAGTTAGGAACTGATCCTAGACAAAATCAGTCTCTTTACTTTTCTTCCAGTGTCATGTCAGTGCGGATTAGAAAATAAATGCAAGATGAAAGGATAGGACTGCCTCTTTTGGTCACAGTGCTAACTTAAAATGTTGGTGAAAGCAGGAATCCAATTGTGTGCTGCTTGTTTATTTTGACAGCCTTGTGGTCAGTTGTTGCTTCTGTGGTCAGTAGTTGACATCTTTTATTAACTTTGCTAAGGGTCGAGTTTAAATATTCTTCTAATTACAAAGTATAAATTAGGGAGCAAATAGTACAAGAAGTACATTTTGATCTTTCTTTGTTTTCATCAAGGCATTATCTGAAAACCAGGGACACTCGATGTTCTTTTAATGACTTCAGAGTGTCAGGGAGAGTCTAGACTCACTCATGTGAAATTGCGAAAAGCAATCCGTCTAATACATGTGGGCCTGCTGTCTCTTTTCTTCCATGCGCTCACAGAAAAAAGCCAGTTAGTATTTAGATGCATTGCAGCAATCACCTTTCTATTTAGAGAGCAAGACATTTGCTAGTGGACTCACTGTAACGAAGTTCAAGGTTGACAAACATTTGCTACTATGCTGTGTATGGAGCTACTTCAGACTACTTCAGAAGATTTTAGCATTAAAATACTGCTGATTTTCTCCTAGGAAGAAAAGAAAAAGTATTTCCCTGCTTACAAAAGTGTAAGTCATAAATCCTATAATAACTTTTGTTTTTAACAGCCGAGTTCTGATATTATGTCTCTCAAGCTTTATTTTATAGTGTGCTTTTCCAAAACAAAGCAGGTATATCCAAAACTGTGAAAATGTAATTTCAAGCAAATCTTTCGATACCGTCTCTCACAGTATCCTTCTGAACAAAATGTCCAGCACACAGCTTGATAAACACATCATGTGGTGGGTGAGCAATTGGCTTATGGGTCGAGTACAAAGGATAATAGTGAATGGTGGAACATCAGACTGCTGAACTGTCACTAGGTGGGGTTCCCCAGGGCTCCATCTTAGGCCCTGTGATCTTCAACATCTTCATAAATGAGTTGTTTAGCAGCCCTTCCAACCCTGCATCCAAATTTGCAGACAATACAAAACTGGGAGGAGCTGTTGACTCCCTCGAAGGCAGGGAGGCCCTGTAGAGAGACCTCAACAAATTAGAGGACTGGGCAATCACCAACCCTATGAAGTTTAACAAAGACAAGTGTCAAATTCTGCACCTGGGATGGGGCAACCCTGGATGTACATACAGACTGGGGAATGAGATGCTGGAAGGCACTGCTGTGGAAAGGGACCGAGGTGTCGTGGTTGATGGCAAGTTGAATATGAGTCAGCAGTGCCCTGGCAGCCAGGAGGGTCAACCGTGTTCTAGGGGGCCTCACCTTGAATATTGTGTGCAGTTTTGGGTGCCACAATATAAGAAACATATTAAGCTATTAGAGAGCATCCAAATGAAGGCAACAAAGATGGTGAAGGACCTTGAGGGGAAACCATATGAGGTGCGGCTGAGGTCACTTGGTCTCTTCAGCCTGGAGAACGGGAGACTGAGGGGAGACTTCATCACAGCCTACAACTTGCTCCTGAGAGGAGCAGGATGGGTAAACACTGATATCTCAGGTGACCAGTGACAAGACTCAAGGGAATGGCCTGAAGTTGTGTCAGGGAGGGTTTAGGTTAGATATTAGAAAAAGGTTCTCCATCCAGATGGTTGGACACTGGAACAGGCTCCCCAAGGAAGTGGTCACAGCACCAAGTCTGACAGAGTTCAAGAAATGTTTGGACAGTACCCTTAGGTACATGGTGTGACTCCTGGGGTTGGCCCTGTGCAAGGCTAAGAACTGGACTCAATGATCTGTGTGGGTCCCTTCCAATTCTGTAATTCTATGTATCCTCCAAGACTGCATGCACAACTAACTCAGGTTAGCTCTGAAGTGACCCCAGCTGGCTTCAGCTTGGAAGTTATCTTCCCATTATGGTATTGTCCTGTTGTACTCAAACTAGTAAAGCTTTCTGAAAGCTTGCTAGTTTTACAGATGTATTTCTTACAATAGGATTTTTTAAACTTTTATTAAAATGTGCACTCTAAAGACTATGGGATGTTTTTCTCTTTCGATTGTAAGCTAAACCTGTTCAATGTGTATATTAAGTGTTCATATCCATGCACAGACCAATCTAAAGCCAGGCTGCAGCATACTTCACTGGTGTTCATGATTTCTAATGACTGCTTGTATGAATGTTACCATTTGGAACTAGCTCATGTGACTTTTTATATTGATGGAACAGACTGATTATATTTAGAAATATACGACTCTATATTTTCTTGTGATATTACATTAAGCTGTCATATCAAAATTCCAAAAGGGGTGATTTGTGTGGTTTCCATCTGAAAAATAAATCTGCAAAATACTCAGTGATTACCCAGTGATATGGTTTGAAGCTGGCTCCCTGCCAAGTCTCCAAACCTTACCACAAGAAGTCCCCCAACCCCCCCAAAACCTCAGGAAGAAGAGGGAGAAAAACAACCAAGAAAACCAAAACAAGAGAGAGACAGCTAAAACAATATATATAAATATATTTACACTTATGTTACAGTTATATACAATTGAAACATAGATACAATTTTACAAGGAAAAGGGAAAGGGAAGGGGAAAGGGAAGAAAAGGAACAAAACCAAAATAAAATACATATATATATCCCAATCAGTAGCCCAAGATCTAGCAACTAGAAGAATTAGCAAAAGACTATCTTACTACTCGTCTTGGGACAACGGAGAGTCACGCTGGAATGATCGTTGGCAGCCTCCGTCTCCCAAGGTCGACAAGGCCTTACCAGGCCTCGCTCCCCAACACAACAGACTCAACAGCAGGGAACCTGCATCTCCAAGTCGCCAGAAGGAAAAAGACCGAAGGCCATTCCTCCTTTCTTCTTATAGCCCAGCTTACGTAAAAATCGTTGGGAATACTGAGTAAATCTGGGCCCTTCCTTGGTTACAAACTGGTCACCAAGGAAGGCTTAGACCAAACTACCACACCCAGTAAGGTTGTATCATTTGATTCTTCATAAGAAATCAGAAGAAAGAAAGAAATTATTCACTTCTGTTGTGCATATTTTTTGGTTTTTAGCTCTTGGTATTTAGCTCGATGAAACTTCTGCATCTTCAAAATCTACATATTAAAGTTGA